GCCTTGATTGGATTGCTATCAACTGTGACCAGTCTCCCGGACCCTGGAGCATCGTCCGGGGAGAAATCTCTAGCACAAAACTTCGCAAACCACTTTTGACACGTTCAATCAGTCACAGCATCTTCTCCACACACTGGCCATTTTTTTTTTTTTTTTTTGCATTTCATCTGCATTTTTACCTTTCTTGAAATAATATAGCGTAATAGGTCAAAAGTGTTCCTTACTTTCTTCCATCTGTAATATTAAAATGGCTACACAAAAATTCACCAATTTTGATGTTTCTAAAAAAATGCATGCTGATATGACCGCTGTCACAACACAATTAAAAAATTGTTTTGAATGAAATTAAAGACAACTAAGAGCTGCTAGAGCCAGCATACGGAAAACGCAAGGGGACTTCTTGGCCAACCCAGGGAAGCGAACAGACTTTTTGGCCAACGGAAAGAACTTCTTGGCCAACGGAAAGAACTTTTTGGACAAACCGCTACAACCACATAGGCAGGTTGCCCATAAAAGGAGGGGAAAGAATTACCAGGCAAAATTAATGGAAGGAAAGCAGGAATAGCTACATTTGTTTCAGATAAAGTCGAATTCAGAGCAAGAAAATGACCAGAGGCAGAAAGGGACGTTATGTTTGGATAAAGGATGGATCCACCAAGAAGTCACGATCCAAACTGCGCACACACCAAACAAACACAGCAAAATACATGAAGCAAAAACTGGGAGAACGGAAAGAAACAGACAGTCCACAGTGATGGTTGCAGACTTAACACTCCTCTCTCAGCACCTGTCGACAGAACAATGGGACAGGAATCAGCAATGGGAGGGGAGAACTCAACATCTGTAGCCAATAACATAGAACGGATGTGTATAGAACACTCCGTCTGATAGGAGCAGAACTAGCATTTTCAAGGGCCCTTGGAACATGTGCCAAGTCAGACCACATCCTGAGTCACGAAACAAACATCAACAAATGAAAAAGAATCAAAATTATACAGAGCATGTTATCTGACTACAGTGAAATGAAACTAGAAACCACCCTGGCCCACGTGGCTCAGCAGGTTGGGCATCGTCCACAAAAGGGCACCGGTTTGATTCCCAGTCAGGGTACCTGCCTGGGGTGTGGGTTTCGTCCGTGGTCAGGATGCGACTGATCGATGTTTCTCTCCCACGTGGATGTTTCTCTCCCTCCCTTCCCCACCCCAAAAATAAATAAATAAAATCTTTAAAAAATGAAACTGGAAATCAGCAATTAAAAGAAAACAGGAAACTCCAAAGTACGTGGAAATGAACACCGTACGTCTAAATAACCTAAGAGTCAAAAAGGAACTTGTGGGAAACAAACACATACATTGGACTGAATAAAAATGAAAATACGACCCATCAGACTCTGTGGGATGCAGGTAAAGCAGCGCTGAGAGGAAAACTCGCAGCACTAAAATGCTCACATGGGAAAAGAGGGAAGTCGCAGCTCGGGGAGCTAAGCACCCATGTCAAGCCTCTAGAGAAGGAAGAGCAAAGTGAACCTGAACCAAGCAGAAGCAAGAAAAGAACTGAAATCGGTAAACGTGAAACAGAAACACAATAAAGAAAACCAATTTAACAGAGCTGATTTTTAAATTTTATTTATTTACTTAATTTTTTAAAATTAAAAAAAGGTTTTATTTATTTTAGAGAGGGAGAGAAACATCCATGTGTGGTTGCATTTCATGCACCCCCTGCTGGGGACCTGGCCTGCAGCCCAGGCGTGTGCCCTGCCCCGGGAATCGAACCGGCGACTCTCTGGTCCGCAGGCCAGAGCTCAATCCACTGAGCTGCACCAGCCAGGGCCAGAGCTGATTTTTTAATTGACCAATAGGACCGACCAGCCTCCAGCAAGACCGACAGAGGGAGAGAAGCCATGAATTACCCGTCTCAGAAATGAAACTGAGCACTTCCCTGCAGACCCTGCCCGCAATGAAAAGATGAGACAATGTGACACAAATAAATTCAACAATTAAACAAGACGGACCAAGTACCCCACAGACGCAAGCTGTTGTAAAGTATCCACTTTTCCTCACCTGTCACAATCTGTTTTAAAAATGGAATGTTTTGGTTACGTTGAGTAGAGAACTGCATGCGGGAATATGGTCAAGGAGTTTTTTTCCCCACTTAAGTGGAACCCAAACGTCAAAGCGAGTAACGTGAACCCGCTGGTGCAGCGATTTTCAGCACCTGAGTTGGATATTTTGCGTTGTTGGCTATTTCCTGCAGCATAACGTCGATTGTTCTCAGGTAACGTCTCGATTTGATCGCTGTCGATTTCAACTGGTCCACCCGATGGGGGAGCATCATCCAGTGAGAAATCTCCCTCATGAAACCGCTCTTGGCACGTTCAATCCATCACAGCATCTTCTCCATACACAGCAGAAATGCTTTTCTTTTTGGTTTCAGTTGCGTTTTTGATGTCTGGAAATAATAAAGTAATAATAACATGCCAAAAATGTTGCTTATCTACTTCCATCTTCAATATTAAAACGGCTACACACAAACTCACCCATTTTGGTTAAGTTTTTATTTAAAATGCATGCTGATATGACAGCCATCACAATACAACCGAACAAAATTGTTGCAAATAAAGTTAAAGACAATTAAATGCTACTGGAGACAGTGAATGGAACACCGAACGGGCTTTTTGGCCAACCGAACGGACTTTTTGGCCAGGTGAATACTCGCAGCGCCCAAACTTTTTGGCCAACCCGCTGTGCAGCGCGTGGCCTGGGCCTTCCTCATGGTCCCCCGAGGCCAGGGCCTGGGGACCCGAATCCCAAGGGCCGCCGGCAGAGGGGTCTCGGGCAGCCCCAGGTGACCGCCCTGGAGCAGCCCGCGGCGGGGGCGGCTGCCGGGAGCTGTCTCATCGCTTGGGAAGCCGGTGCAAGTGCAGGCAGCTCTCCTGACGCAGGCGGGGGGGGGGGAGGTGTGGCTGCCAGCCCCCCCACCTTGCCGCCTCCCCAGGCCTAGAGGTGGGGGAAGCCTCGGGGGGTGCGCCCCGCGAACCCAGTGCCCTTCCCCAGGGCACCCGGACCCCACAGCCAGGCCGGGCCTCTCGGCGGGACAAGCAGCCCGTCCTGGCCCCACAACAGGGGCCCCGGGTGAGAGCTCCCTGGGCGAGGCCAGAGCTTCCAGGGAACGGCCCGGCCACACCCTCTCACCTGCCGGAAGAGCACCCCCCCACCCCGGGCCAAACCCGCTCCCGCCCGACTTGGCCTCCTGGAACCAGTGTGATGTGCCCGCGGCCGCCGCCGCCACCTTTGCTCACGTGCTCACGCGACAGACCCGGCCCCGCACGCGGTGGGGCCAGCACTCCCACCTGGGCCGGGGCGGCCCGGGCGGCCGAGCCGCAGGGCTTGGCGTGTGGCAGGGGGAGCGGGCAGCGGCCAACGCCTCCACCATGAAAACGCACAAAACTTCTCAGGAAGGGGAGGAAAGCTGGGAAGCTCAGCAGCACTGGGACCCCCCCCCCCCCAAGCTAAGAGGCAGAGGGAGGGACTCACCTGAGCCAGCAGGGCCCTCGGAGCCGCGTCCAGGCCCCACGGGCCCCGCCGCTGTCCCCACGCGCACGCTGTCCCCACACGCACGCTGGGCACGCTGGCTGCCCAGACATGGACAGCCCAGTGCAGGGGAGCGGGGCCCCGAGCCCCCGCCCCGTGGGCTTCAGGCCTGCTCCGCGGCCGTGGTCCCCGTGGGTCGCCGAGCAGCGGCAGGCGAGGTGAGGGGGCTCCTGCCTCAGGGGCACCTGAGCGTTTCCCCGTGGCCCAGGCCGAGCGGTGAGGGCGCCCCGGAAGCCCGGCCTGCGGAACAGGCCTGTGTGTGGGAGCTCTTCGTGGGGGTTGGGAAGAGGGGGTGAGGGGGGCAGAGGGACAGGGCTGAGTTTTAGGGGGGCCCATGGGGTGCAGAGCCCCCCGAGGATGCTCAGGGTCTGGGGCTTCATGGGCCGGGGCTGGCTGCCCTCCAGGGGCGCTGGAGGGCCTGGGCCCGGCCCGCGCCCCACATCCCAGGCACCTGACCCGGGACACTATGTCCTGGGAGGCAACCAGCTGTCGGCAGCTGGGCCGCGCCCGAGGCCCTCCCTCCCGGCCGGCTCCCGGATGAGGCAGCACGGCGCCCCCAGCCCTGCCCCCTCCTCCTTGCCCTGGCTGCACCCCCAGCCCCGCTCCCCGACCTCGGGGGGGCCCCCGCTTTGGGCCCAGGGAGAGGGGGTCTGCTCTGCAGGTCTGGCCTCCCGTGTGCGGCAGAAAGCCCCCCAGGGAGGCCTGCTGGGGCCCCCGCCTGTCCCAGCCTGCCTTTCGTCCCCTTCCCTGAGCCCCCGCCCCTCTGGCCTCCCCAGGTTTCGCCTGAGGCCACCTTCCCAGCCACAACAGAGCCTGTGGCACCCCCTGGTGGTCCAGTCGGGAACGGCAGGCCACTTGACCCAGGGACGCGCGGAGGAGGCTGAGGCCCCTGCCGCCGCCGCCCCCCCCCCCCCCCCCCGCAAGCAGATGGGAGAGGCTGCAGCTGAGGGCCCCTCCAGTCCTGCCTGCAGCCTGAGCTGCTGGCCTCTGGCACCCCGGTCACGGATGTCCTGGGACCAAGAGCCCACAGCTGGGGGTTGTGCTTGTGGGAAATGCGGGGGAGGCCCAGGCCCACCAAGGCCAGGGAGCCTCGGAAACACAGCCCGGCCGGAGCACGGCCCGGGCCCCCAGTGCGCTGTGCTGGCCCGGCTGCCGGCTGGTCCGCCCCGATCTGTCCGCAGCCCCTCCCCCGTCCGCCCCCGGGAGCCCCGTCTGAAGCACACCCTTCAGCACGCCGACCTCCAGCTCATTCGAAACGGATTTGCCTGCATTCGTCTAATGGTTTAATGAGGAAAAGTACAGAAAGCAGCGCCCCTTCCTGCGCACACGCATGCCCCCAGGCCCTGTCCCCCACCCGACAGGCAGGCTCCCCGCAGGCTCCTCAGTGAAGGACAAAGAAGCCCCGGGGGCAGGAGGGGTTCGCCGCGCGCTGCTCAGCGGAGCCGGGCCCAATGTCCCGGTTCTTCTTTTTCTTCCCCGAGGACTCCACGCTTTCCCGGGGGGGCTCCCCGCAGCAACCCCTCACACCTGCCTCCCTGGGGCTCCGGGCAGCGCCCCCTGGTCCTGAGGACGGCTCCCGGGCCCACGTGGGCGGGCAGGGCCATCCCAGGGCTTCGGGCTGGAGCCTCCGGGCACCGGCGCCCTCGGTGGCTGCGTGGCCGGCAGGGCCATCCCAGGGGCTGCCGGCTACGAGCTGGAGTCTGCAAGACACAGGGCACCAGGTGTCGCAGCTGGTCCCGGAGGAGCAGCGGCCCGCCCCCCGCCCCCACACCTGTCCGTGTGGAGGTCACACAGCGAGGAGGCCAGGCCCGGGGGCACTGCCATCGGGGGTGTGGGTTCAAATCCCCAGCCACCAGGCGCGCTGAGCTCAGGCAAAGCCCTTGCCGGTCCCTGGGCAGACCAAGCCGCCCAGGCTGTGGTGTCTGCCCCGGCGGCATCTCCCAGGGGGCTCCCGAGTGCTGGGCACCGAGGGCGCAGGGCCACGGGAGGGGGTCCTGGGCCAGTCGCACAAAGGACAATTCTGTATAATTAAAAGCGTTTCAGGGTCCTGACTTATCTAGTGATTCATGTGCCGATTCCCACGGGATGTTTCAGTACTGCTGGGGGAAACGCTGTCTTATGAATGTATGTTACTTGTTTTCCCCTAAGTTTACCAGCAAAGGGATCAGAGTGGCTTTGGGGGCGCCAAGTGTCCGAATTCGGGCACATTCATGAAGGCGCAACACAGACACAGCCCCTCCGGCTCCCCCCTGTTGAAAGGTGTCACGAGCTCTTTCTGGGCAGCCGGAGCAGGTGACATGGAGCCCCTTAGCCGAGAGCTGCTCATCCATGACATAGCGCAAATGCCGCGCTGACAGATGAAGCCGTCGGAGCCCAAGGAGGGCTGGTGACAGCCGGTGACGGCCAGGCTCAAGGGCAGGGTCCACGGGCGGCTGCTGGGAGAACCTGCATCGGGGCCCATCACTCCAGAGAGGACGGGTCCCCTGCGGGCCCCGGGCGGGCGGCAAGCAGGCAGGCAGGTGGCACCCCCTCTGACCCCCCGCCCCCGCCCAGCCTCTGCCGGGGCGGCGCCTTACCTATGACAATGAGGGTGGCCGTGCTGACGGCCTGGCCCAGCGTGTTCTCTGCCACGGCCTTGTACAGGCCGCTGTCCTCGGGAGAGACGCTGGCGATGACCAGGGAGCACACGCCCAGCGTGTCGGTGCTGTACACCGCGCGGCTGCCCTCCAGGCTCTCGCCGTTCCTGAACCAGGTGACGCGGGGCTGCGGCCAGCCGCGCACGGCGCAGCTCATGCGGCACTCGCAGCCGGCCGGCAGCAGGTGGGAGCGCAGGCCCACCGCGAACGAGGGCTTCTGGCTCAGGTTGGGCTCCCGGTGGCTGGGGGCCTTCACGGTGACCGTGTCTGCGGAGGGACCGGGGGCAGCCGGGGGTCAGAGGTGAGGCGGGCCGGCTGGGGACAGCAGGGCGGGACGTTCCTGCAGGGACGCGGGCATCTCCTCCCTGCAAGTTCGGTCCCTGAGGCTCCTCTCACTCTTTTAGCCTGTCTATAGAGGCTTTAGGGTTTTGTTTGGCTTTGTTTTTAACGATAAGCGGACGCCCATCCATTGGGGACACATTAGAACACAGAGTGAGTCAGAAGGAGAGAGAAGAAAAACCAAGCACAACCTCCCTCTTCAGTGCAGAACTTTCCAGACACTTGTTCTTTAGAAAAGGACACCGTGCGCCGGATTTTGGAAGCTGCTTTCCCAGTGGCGGCTTGGTAGACCCATCTCTTAGGCCACAGAACCCACTTTGCTTTCAAGGGGTCATCAGCCTCATCCCTGCCACCCAAAGGCACCCCGGAGTCCGGACCTCCTCAGCCCTGCCCCCGCCTCCCACAGTGGGGGACGCCCTGAGTTGGGGACACGCAGGCCCGCGGTGCAGGGGGCTGGGCTGGACCCCGGCCCCACTCTCCATGGAAACGGGCTCCGCTCATCCCGGCCGCAGCAGCCCGGGCTCCCCGCACACCCCGCCGCCCGGGCTCGCGGAGCAGCCGCGCGGAGCTCACCTCGCTGCCGCGGGACGCACCAGGGCTGGCTGGTGTCCGAGGGCTCGCTGGCCCCCAGCTCGTTCTTGGCCACCACTCGGAAGTAGTACTCGTGCCCGGGGAGGACGCCCAGGAGGGTGAAGCGGTGGGTGTAGACGCGGCCGGCAGCCTCGCGCCAGGGCGCCTGCCCCGAGCTGCGCGTCAGCACCGTGTAGTGCAGCGGCACGCCCTGCGCCTCACTCGGGGACGGCTCCCACTCGGCTGTCACCGTCCCGGGCACGTTCTCCTTCAGGCTGATGGGCCCGGGCGCCATCGGCTTCACTGCAGGGCAGAGGCGGAAGAGTGCAGCTGGGGGGACCGGCGGGGCGCCTGACGAGGCGGGGTGGGGGGCGCCTGCACGGCCCTGCGGGGTCCCCCCCGGGGGCCACGGTCCTCTCTGGAGGGTGGGAGCCCCAGTGTCGTCTGTCAGTGACAGGACCCAGGAGGGGACAGAGCGGGGCCCTCTCGGGCAGGGCGACGGAGCCCCGTCAGCCGCTCGCTTCTGCCTTCCGGGGGGCGCCTCCCGGCGGGCCGTGGGGACAGCGGCCTCGCCTCCTACCAGCACACGGACAGGTCTTCCAGCGGCTCTGAGCGGCAGGTGACTGTCTGCCCTCGGAGGCTCAAAGGGAAGACTAACCGAAGCCCAGGCAGGGGCCGGGGCTCGCCGTCCCCGAGGTCCCGGGCAGAAGGACGTGAACCCCCAGACTCCCCCGGCCTCCCCTCTTCAGCCGTCAGCACCGAGGGGTAGGAGCGAGGTCGCTGTGTGGCTTGGCCCGGGGGGGCAGGACAGCGGAGACCGGCCGCCGCCCAGGCCGCCTCACCTGCCACCTTGAGGAAGAAGGTGTAGGTGACCTCCTCGCCCTGCTGGCCCCTCAGCACCACGGTGTAGGCGCCACTGTCTGCGAGGCTGGCCACGGGCACCAGCAGCTGGGTGAGGCCGTCCTGGGTGGAGGTCACGTATCTCTTGGGCAGGAGCAGGCCGTCCTTCAGCCAGGTCACCTCCGGCATGGGGGCGGCCTGGGGGCCGGGAGGGAAACGGGAGAAAGGGGCTCTGAGGCAGCCGTGGGCTGCGTGCCTGGCCGGCGGGGGCGTGGCGGGGAGCGGGTCCTGGGAGGGGGCTAGGCCTGCAAGAGGGGCCGCCTCCTCCCTTCCTTGCCCTGGCCGGACGGCCAGCACCAGCCCCCGGCCCTGCCCAGCAGCCGGAGGGAACCACAGGGCCGAGACTGACTCCCTCGGCACAGTGCCCCCCCACACCCGTTAGACAGACACACTCACCTCAAAAGGGACGGGCACGCGAATGGTGTCCCCAACTCTGACCACCAGCGAGTCCGTCAAGCCGGAGTCCAGGAGGAACTTGGGAGAGACTGCAACACACCGGACGGCTTGTCACCTCCCTGTGCGGGGGGCCCCGGGCCCGCCTCGCGGATGCGGGGACCCGAGGGGACGAGGGTTGGGGGAGAGGCAGGAGGTGACCCGCCTCAGCCCACAGGGACGGGGCAGGGCCCGGACGAGGCCCAGCATCCTGGGCTTGGGTGCATCGAGCAGTTCAGTGTGCGTGTCCCCCTGATTGTTACAGGGACAACAAGGGGGCACTGGGATGGCCCAGGGTGAGCCTGAGCCCGGCTGCTTCCACGGCTCACGGGGACGAGACCGGCCTCCTGCCGACCGCAGGCGGCTGGGCCTCCTGGACCCTGAGCCGCAGGGGCCGAGCAGCGCCGGCGCCTTCCCGACTGGGGCTTGTGTGGCCGCGCGGCCGCGAGGCCAGGCTCAGCCTGGGCTCTGGGGTCGGCGGCCTGGTTAAATCCGGTCTCTGCCTGGACCTGGGGCAAAGGACCTTGTCTGTACGTTGGGGCTACAAATATGAACCTCGTGAGGTCTTCACAAGCTGCCACGGGAAAACATTCCTGAAGAACAGCTGGCCTGGCACGTAGCAGGTGCTCAGGAAATGTCACTTTGATTAAACTGGGGGAGGGGACTTTGGCGCGGAGGAGGAAGGGCCCCGGAGAGCGCGGCACTCACCAGAAACAGGCATGGCGTGCACGAGCGTGTCCAGCATCACGGGCTGGCTGCGGCCGCCGTCGTTAACCGCGACAACCCGCACGAAGTAGCCCTCCTGGGGCCGCAGCCCCTTGGCGGTGTAGGCGGTGGCGGGCACGGTGCCCGCGTGGCACGGCGCCCACTCGAGGCTGCCGCAGGCGCACAGCTCCACCACGTACCCCTGCGCTGCGTCCCCGTCCTCCGCCTCCGGCTGGGCCCAGCGCAGGCTGATGCTGGTAGTCGACGTGTCTGTGACGTGCAGGTCCCGCACGGGCCCCGGGGGTCCTGGCCGAGCACCAGGGGGCGTCAGGAGCGGCGCCCCCTCCAGGCCACCTGCCCAACTCGCTCCTCCCGCTCCACCCCCTGCCAGCCCCTCCCCTAAGCACCCGTCTGTGGCCCCTGACACCCGGCATTGCAGTGGGCGCCCTCTGGGCTCTGAGACCCCGGAGACCAGCACTCTGTGTGTTTGTCCCAAGCTCTGAGCCCCTGGTGACCACGGCCTCCCACGGAGGGTCCAGAGCTGCCGTCCCCAACCTGTGCACCTCCCAGCGAGGGCTCAGGAGGTGTTTGGTCAGACACCTTTGTTCCCCGACCTGTGGCCCTGGCTGTCATTCTCGGAGTCTGAGGTGCCCTGCTGTGCCCCGCCGTTCCCAAGACCGAGCACAGGGAAGCGCTATTGTGGACCGGAAGCTTCTCAGGGGCAGACGGCAGGGCGAGGGCCCCTGGTCCCGTGCGCACCCGGGGGGTGAGGAGCCAACAGCTGGGCAGAGGGCTTCCCCGCGACCCCGCCCGGCGGGGACCATGGCCCCTCCCTCAGGCGAGCTCCTGGTTCCAGGGCCGGACAGGCGGGCGCACCTGGGACTCACCTGCCCAGGTGAAGAGGGAGGGAAGGGCCCTGGGTGGGGGTTCGTCCAGCCCTGCTGCCCTGCCCGGGCCCTGTCCCTGGCCTGCGGCCACGGTCCTGTCCCGCCGGCCCCAGGGCCCCCCGCACGCCCCGCACCCTCCCCCGGGGCTGCCCCACTTACGCATGGGGTCCCGCGCGAAGACAGCCTCCGACGGCGGCCCGGGCTGCCCGGGGCCGGAGGGAGCCACGGCCGTGACCCGGAACTCGTACTGGCAGTCGGGCCTCAGGTCCGTCACCGTCCACCTGCGCTCTGTGGGGGGCCGCCCGTCAGCGCCCCGAGGGGACCCGCCCGCAGGGTCTGGAGACGCGGGGTGGGGGACCAGGCCTCTCGGCGGGGACGGGTGCGGCCGGGGCGTGGGGCCCGAGTCCCCGCCGCAGACATGCCGGGGTTGTGGGCATGTGCCTGACCGGCCCCCACCCCCGCGCCCGTGCGGATGAGAACGCTGAGGTCTGGGCAGGAGGGCGAGCCGCCAGGGCAGGCGGAGGGACGGGCCACCGCTCCGGCCCGGCCCCTTCCCGAGACGCCCGCTCACCCAGGGTCTCCCCCGCCCTCCGCCCCCTGCACGGGGGGCGCTTTGGCCACGTGATTCTTCACTGGGGAAGTTGAGGGGGAGGGGCCTCCCTGTGCATTGCAGGGTGTTTGGTGGCATCTCTGGCCTCCTCACACCGCATGCCGTTCCCGCACTTCAGCTGCGACAGCCCAAAATGGCCCGACATGGCCCGACGTCCCCGGGACAGAGCCACCTGAGGGCACCCGGGGCACGAGAAGTGGTGAGATGGAGCCACAGGACCCGGGGCGGGCGGGCGGGCGCAGGCCGCCTACCGGGCACGGGCTGGTCGGTCACGGCTGCCCACGTGTTGCTTCCTTTCTTGCGCTTCTCAACCAGGTAGCCCAGGAGGTGGGCGCTGCCGGGGCCGCGAGGCGCTGTCCACGTCAGAGTGATGCTCTTGCTGGAGGCAGACACGATGGCTGGGGCCGACGGGGGCCCGGGCAGCGCTGGGGGCCGAGGGCGCGGTCAGCGGAGGCCCAGGAAACGCCCCGGGGGGCGGAGCGGGGCGTCTGGGGGGCACACTCTGTCCCCTCCTCGGGGGCATTGGGGGCTGAGCCAGGTGCTCGGGGACAGCGTTCCGGCTGCTCAGGCGAGCACCGCGGCCGAGGGGTGCAGCCAGCGTGGAGGCCCTGGACGAGGGCTCCAGACGGGGTACCCAAGGCGGGTAACGCCAGCCTCCCAGGGTCCCCCACGCCTGGGGAGCCGCAGTGGGGGGAGACCCCGTCAGCCCGGCCTCCGGGTCCCTGGTGACACAGGCGGGGAGTCTCCACAGGGCCCTCAGGGGCCTGAGACCCTCCCTCTGCTGCCTGGGGGGGTCCCCCGGCGCCCCGGCCCCGGCGGCCTGTCCTCTCACCGTCAGGAGCCACGAGCACCTCCTCGGACTCCAGGGCCTCGCCAGGCCCCTCGGAGGTCACGGCCCGCACGCGGAAGGCGTACTTCCGGCCCTGCTCCACGCCGGCGTCGGTGAAGCTGGTGCTGTCGGCGGACGGCTCGCCCAGCCTCACCCACGTGCTGCGGCCCGCCTGCTGCCTCTCCACCACGTAGTGCTCCACGGCCCGGCCCCCGTCGTCGCGTGGCGGCCGCCAGCGCAGGTGGACCCCGGCGCCCCGGCTGCACTGCACCTCCAGGGGTCCCTGGGGCGGCCGGGGCTTGTCTGGGGCGGGAGGGAGCAGGAAGAGAGGGGGCATCAGAACAGCCGGGGGGCGGGGGGGGCCCCGGGAGCCTCGGGCCGGACCAGGGCTGACCCTGGTCTCACCCCCGCGCGCACACACACGCACGGACAGTCGCACACATTCACACACCTGTGCCCAGGTGGGCCCCGCGGGGAGCAGCAGCCCGGCCGGCCGGCCCCGCCCCCGCCCCCCTTGCTGGCACCATTCAGGGCCGGCGCGGGTCGGCACAGCCAGCCCCCCAGCCCTCCAGCCACCGGAGCTGCTGCTTCCCACCCGGGCCGCGGACGGGGGAGGGCGCGGGCCGCGTGGGGCTGGACCCTAAGCAGCCAGCAGGCGAGGCTCGGCGCCCGGGGGTGGGGGGCCCGTGGGAGGCCGGGCAGGCACCTATGACTTGCACGGTGACGCTGGCCTGCGCGGAGCCTCCTGTGCTCCTCAGTGTCACGCGGTAGCAGCCGCTGTCCTTCCTGCTGACGCTGGGGAGGCAGAGCCGCGTGAGGCCGTCGCCCGGGGCCGCCTGGGCCTCCCCGCCGCTGGGGCCGTCCAGCTCGACCCCGTCCTTGGTCCAGGAGGCCTGGACCGGGAGGCGGCTCTGGAAGGCGACCTTCACCGTCAGCGGCTTCCCGGCCTTGACCACCAGCGGCTCCTTCAGCCTCTCTGTCACTTCCGGAGCAATGACCGGGGGGTCTGGGGCGGCGACAGGGCAGGGGTCAAAGAGGCCAGGGGTCAAAGAGGCCAGGGGTCAAAGAGGCCAGGGCTCTGGGCTCCTGGGGCCGGCAAGGGGGGCCCGAGACGGAACCTGGGCTGCGAGGCTGGAGCCCATCCCCCCACCTCTGGAGGACTAACTGGGGCCTCCCATCTCCGGCAGGAAGGACTGGGGACCTCGCTTGGGACCTCCCGACAAGGAACTTTAAAGTCGCCTGCTCCGAAGGAGCGTGGCTTGCGCTCCCGACACGGACAAGCCGCGCATTCGGGTGTCTGCGTACCACCGGGGGCGGGCGGCCAGGCGGGGTGGACGGGCGGGCCGGGCCTCACCTCGGACGGTCAGGGTGGCCTCGCTCCTCTGGCCGCCGGCTTCGAAGGTGTACCTCCCTGCGTGAGTCTCCTGCACGCAGGCAATGAGGAGCCTGTGCACCAGGCCGTCCTGCTCCAGGTCAAATCCATCCTGGGCGCCGAGCTGGAAGAGGCCACAGCGGAGCCGGTCACCCCCAGCCCAGGGCACCCCCAGGCCCGGCAACCAGGGGCCCGAGCGATGGCGCGAACCGGGCGTGATCGCGGGCCCGCCGCGTGCCAACGCCCTGCGCTCTGCCACCTCGCTGGGCGGTCGCTACACTCCAGCGCGGCAGGTGCAACTGTTAGCCCGTGTTACAGATGGAACCGGAGGCTACCTAGCGGCATCAGGAGCGGGGGTCCCTGGTGCCCAGCCCGAGCGCTGAGGCCCGGTGACGTGCTTCCTCCTGAGCCGACGGCCCGGCCGGAGGGCGGAGGCCCAACCCGGGGCCAGGAGGTCTTGCCTGGTGAGGCTGATAGGACGGCCGTCGTAGGGGCCTCAAAGGGCACCCGGAATGCAACAGGTGTTGGGACAGAAGAGGCACTGGGGCAGCTGAGAGCTCAGGGTGGTGGGGGAAGACCGGGACGCAGGTGTCTGAAATCCTGAGCGTTGTAAACACACCGAGTTCTTGGCCCTTGAAACTCCCAGAGGCCCCGGGAACACGAGGCCAAATGCGCCCCTCTCCCCTCTCTGCCCCCGCCCCCGCCTGGTCGGTAGAGGTGAGGGGCGGTACCTTGACTCCATCCTTAAACCAGGCGCCGGGCCCCAGGTCCCGGCGGAGGGTGCAGGACAGCACGGCCGCCGCCCCCAGCCGAGCCTCCGTGTCAGCCAGGCTCTGCAGGAAGTGGCCCTGGGGACCTGGAGACACAGAGACAGGGCTGGCACGGCCCACATGGCGCCCCGAGGCCCCCGCGCTTCTCGGCAGGGCCCGGCCAGTGCGGCAGGCCCAGGGGCCGGGGGTGCAGAGCCCCCGAACCGCAGGGACGGGTGTCTGGGCGACCCACCAAGGGAGCGGGCCACGCCGCTCTGGACATCGTGTGTCCGGACAGATGCTCGGGGGCCCCCAGCCCCTTGGCCTGGATCCCACCTGGCCAGGAGGGGGGGCTGCTTCCTGGACTGGGAGGGGACCCCCCAGAATGGGGGGCGCTGGCCGGGAAAACCGCCTGGGGCTGGAGGCGGAACCGGGGCCGAGCCAGGCACCCGCGTGCAGGGTCCCTGTGGGGCTAGAGCACTCACCTCGGGCTTCCTCGAAGAGGCCGGCAGGGCCGGGCTTGCGTCTGGACCGGGGGCTCCGGGTGGTGTCCTCCCCTTGGCCACCGACGTCCGACCTGCCCTCTGTGCGACCTCTGCTGCCGCCCCGGGGACGCGCGGGGTCCCAGCTCCCATCGCCACACAGAGCCTCCCCCGTGCTCGCGGGGTCCCCCTCTCCGGGCGGCGGTCCTTTGCCTCTGGCCTCACCCACTGCCTGCGCCTCCGTGGCTCCGGCCTTGGCGCCCCGCTGCGCTCGGGACCTGCCCCCGAATGGGCCGGGCCCGTCCGACCCTCCAGGCTCTGCCGCGCCCCGTCCCTTGTCCCCTGGGCCTTGAGTCTTGTCATTCTTGGCTTCCAGGGATGCCGGCTTCCCCAGGGGCCCCCTGTCTCCTCTCTGTCCTCTGCCAAGCTGGGAGTCCAGGTCCCCAATGTCCCTGGATCTGTCCCCACAATCTTTGCTGCCTGAAGGAACATCTAGGCCATTCCGGGCTCCATCCAAGTCCCTCCGGCCAGCAGACCTGTCCCTTCCGGCAGCTGAACCCTTGCTGTCCAGGGTCCCCGGGCCGTGTCCCCTACTGGCCTCTCCTTGGCCTGCAGCCCCCGCCTGAGCCCTGGAGCCTCCTGAGACATCGTCCTTCCCAGAGCCGGGCGGCTGGGCCCCGGCTTCCGCACGGCCCCTCTGAGGCCCCTGGTCTTTCCTGCCTGTGGCCCGCGCATATTTAAGCCCTGGCCCCGTGGAAGCCTCTGACACGGACCTGCCCCTCTCCCTGGGCGCCTGGCCACCGTCCAAGCCCTGGCCCGCGCCGGCCCCCGACGCTTCTGCCGCCTTCTCGCCTCCCAGCAGTGAGTCCTCCGCTCCCTGCGGCCCCGGGCCTCCTGGGCCAGCGGCTCCCTGCCCGCCCGCCGTCCTCGGACCTGCTTTCCGGGAGTCCCCTTCTCGTCTGGATCCCGGCCCAGCGGTCCCTGCCTGGGCGTCACCCTCCACTGCCCCCCGACCATCGAGAGAGCCAGAAGCGCCCACGCCCCCTGCTCGGTCTGCAGACCCACCCTCGCCAGGGCCAACCCTGGGGCCCTGCCCGGCGGCAGCCCCCGCCGCTCCGGGCGTCCCAGAGCCCACACTGGGGCCGGCCCCATCCGCCAGCCCCACTCCCGGGCCCCTCGTGGGGCCCCCTGCGGAGCCGGCGCCACCATGAGGCCCCTCTGGGGCTGCCCAGCCCCCTGGCCCGGGCCCCTCGGCTTCTCGGCCTCGGGCTCCGCCCTCCTGTCCCGCTGCCGCCAGGGAGCCCATCAGCCCGCGGCCCCCGCCACCGTCTCTGTGGCCCTTCTCACCCTCTGGCCCAGCTTCTGCAGACCCTCCCGAGCCTCCCCTGTGACCTGCCTCGCCCCCTGCCCCCATTCCCCCAGGGCCCCCCGAACCACCCCTGTGGCCTGCCCCGTCTACTGACCCCCTTTCCCCAGCAGCCCCAGTCCCATCCCTGTGACCTGCCTCGCCCCCGGACCCCATGCCGCCGAGGGGCCCTGAACCATCTCTGAAGCCTGCCGAGCCCCCTGCCCCCATTCCCCCAGGGCCCCCCGAACCACCCCTGTGGCCTGCCCCGTCTACTGACCCCCTTTCCCCAGCAGCGCCAGTCCCATCCCCGTGACCTGCCTCGCCCGCTGACCCCACGGCCCCGGGCCCAAGACCCCTCGACTGCCCTGCAGAACCCGCCCTGCCTTCCACGCGCTGCAGCCCTGGAATTCCGGGCCCCTCCCCGTAGCCCGGCGTACTGCCAGGCCCGCCGGACCCCCAGCCCTCAGGACCGACCCCCGTGTCGGGAGCCTGTGCCTCGGGGCGCCCCCGCCCCTCCCAGCCGCCCGCTCCGGCTCCAGAGGCCCCTTCGCCGTAGCCCCCTCCGGCTCCTGCCCTCAGAGAGCCTGGCGCCAGGGCGCCTGGACCCCCAGAGCCTCCCTCTCCAAAGGCCCCGGCCGCCCCTGGGGCTCTGAAGCCCCCGCTGTCTCCAGGCGAACCCCAAGCCTGCATTTTCCCAGAGGCCCCTGGCTCCACTCCCGCAAGCCCCTCGCCTGCAGCTTCCGCTGCTGCGGGGGTCCCTAGGCCCCTGCTCCCCCCAGGCCCCACCGTCCCCACACCCCCAGGGCCGCCGTCGGAACGAGGCCACCCTCCAGGGCCGGCACCCCCATGGGCTCGGGACGCCTCCCAGGTCTCCGGATGCACCCCGGCTCCGCCAGGGCCCCCAGGGCCGCCCTGGAGGCCAGCGAGTGTCCCTGGCCCGCTCCAGGCAGGACCGCTGCCGTCCTGGTCTCCAGCCCCCGCTGCCCCAGGCACCCGCGGGCCACCCCTGAGACCACCCCCCTCCTCGGACCCTGCTCCCCCGAGGGCCCCGGGCCTGGGGGCGGAGCCCATCCCTGGCGCCCCTGAGCCTTCACGGTGGTGCCCAGGCCCACCTTCGGGACCCGTTCCCCTGAAATGCCTGGGGCCACCACCGTCCCTGGTTCCCGCTAGGCCGGCCTCAGGGCCTGCTCCGCCCGTGGGTCCCCCTTCCCCGAAGCTCCACGCCCCGTCGCAGGAGCCTAGCTCGGACCCTGAGGTCCCCAGACCTCCTGCTGCGTCCGTGCCTCCCCGTGCACCCCAGGGCCCCGGGGCACCCTGGTTTGGAGGCCCAGCCAGCCTGTGACTGCTGGCATCGTCCCTCGGGCCAGACCCCATCAGCCCAGGCCCCTGGGCACCACCCACTCCCCCCGCCCCGCCCCCGGGCCCCAGCGCCCCAGGCCCGGGGTATGCCCCTGCATGGCTGAGGCCAGCCCCTGCGTCGCCCCAAGGCCCTGGGCTCCCCGTCTCCGCTCCGCCGCCGTGCTCTGCTCCCCTCTGACCCCCCGTGCTGCCGGGGGAGCCCTGGGGCCCCCTGCCATCGCCTGCCTCGCCCGAGGCCCCCGCGGGCCCCTGGCCCTCCCTTGCCCAGACCCCAGGACCTCCTGGGCCTTCGAGATGAGGCTTGTAGTCCCGTCCCGCACCCACATGCTCCCCGGGACCCCAATCACCTGCCCCCTGCCCTGCGCCCTCAGCACCCCTGCGCCCCAGGAGACCCCTGCCCCCTGATCCCGTAGGGCCTGGGAGGCCCTGGCCGGCCGGTGTCCATCCTTCAGACTGCCCTGGGCCCCCAAAGCCCTGGGCTTCCCCCTGCTGACCGGCGCCCCGTCCCTGAGCGCCCCAGGCCTCAGGACCCCTGCCTGCCTTGGAGCTGGGGCCCCTGCCCCCTGGGGGCTCCAGAGAACCGAGACTACCTGCTGCCGCGGAGCCGTCCCCGGCCGCGCCCAGGCCAGCCCCACTGCCGGCTCCGCCCAGGCCGGCCCCGCCCAGGCCAGCCCCACTGCCGGCTCCGCCCAGGCCGGCCCCGCCCAGGCCAGCCGCACTGCCGGCTCCGCCCAGGCCAGCCCCGCCCAGGCCAGCCCCACTGCCGGCTCCGCCCAGGCCAGCCCCGCCCAGGTCAGCCCCGCCCAGGCCAGCCGCACTGCCGGCCCCGCCCAGGCCAGCCCCGCCCAGGCCAGCCGCACTGCCGGCCCCGCCCAGGCCAGGCCCGCCCAGGCCAGCCCCACTGCCGGCTCCGCCCCCGCTTTCCCTGCTCAGCCCACCCCCGGCCCCAACCCCGTCCAGGCTGCCCCGCTGCTGTAACTTCTCCATCCCCTCCCCTCCTGACCCAGACCCCCCAGAACTGGTCAGCCCCCCCTGCAGGGGGGCCCCTCTCTCTCCCGCCACAGGGCGCAGCTGAGCGCCCCAGAACTGTCCCTGGCTGTCTCTGTCCAGCTGGCTCCCACTGTCCTCACTGTGCCCCTGCCTTTCCCCGCTGCCCCCTGGTCCCCCGACCACACTGGCCCGGGACCCGGCCTCCCAGCCGCCTGCCGCCCCCCCGCGTCGGTCCCCATCACCACCTCTGCCCTGGTCTGGCCGGTGACCTTCTGCGCGGCCCAGCCCGGCCCCCTCGCCCTCTCCCGGTGGACGGGGCGCCCCCCCGAGGCTTGTGCCCCAGCCCCCCTCCCCGTGGAGCTGGTCCTTCCCAAGAACAGTGGGCCCGGACCCATCGGCTTCCAGGAAGCCCTTTCCCGCCTGCCCCGGGCCCCGGGCCGCGTCAGCGGTCCCCTCGTCCCCTGCCAAGGAGTGGCCGCGCGCCCCGAGGCTGCCTCCGTGCAGGCCGGCCGGGAGCTGATGCCCAGAGGCCAGCCCGGCCCCCTCGAGGGCAACCCTCATGTCCCCCTGCTCTCTGGGCCCCCCGCCCCGGCCCCGGGGGCTGCTGGGCTCTTCCACGGCAGCGGCAGCGACTGGGGCTCCTGGTGCCTGAGCTGGGTGGTCGGCGCCTGGGGGCAGAAGGCCTTTGTCCTTCCCGGCTTCGGTCACAGGTCGCCGCCCCCAGGGAGAGACAGAGAAAAGAGCCGCGAGGTCAGGCTGGCTGCTAGTTGCCCAAACCCAGATGCTCCTCCTGCCCCTCTGGGTCCACAGGCCAGACGCGAGCTGACCGCCGGGGTGGGGAGCCGGCCTGCACCCTCGCGCCCCCACCCGCCGCGGGGCCCCGGTCGACTTCAGCAGGGAGTACGTGGGTCCGTCACGTGCTTATCGAAAGGCCACCAGGGCTGCGTGGTTTTCTCTGAGATCGCCTTGCCCTGTCTCCTGGGACCACCTTGAGCCCCAAGCCTGGGGGTTCAAGGGGTCCTTTGGCCTGATCCAGGGCTTCTCATAGACTGAACCTGAGCTGCTGTCCCAAGCCCTGACCGGGACCCCGGGGCCGTCTTGGACCTGTGTGTCCGGGGCCGTCCCATGGGCCCCGTGGAGCAGAGGCCGCTGAGGGGCACAGAGATGGCGGTGAAGACCCCTCGCGCAGTGGGCAGGACAGGCCTCGGGAGTGGAGGCGCCGCCCAGAGCCCATGCGGCCGAGGGCCACCCTCAGCCTGACGTCTGGCCTTGGCGGAGGCAGGGCCACGGGGGTCCACTCACCTTCAACCACCAGCCAGGCGGTGGAGGCGTGGAGCCCGGTGTCCAGGGAGTAGGGGCCCGTGTCCGAGACGCAGGCCGCCTTCACCACCAGCTGGTGGGTCAGGCCGTCGGGGGACACAGACACCTCGTATTTGTCGCCGGGCTGCAGTGGCCGGTGCTGGAAGCGCCAGGTGGCGCCAGGGCAGGAGCTGGAGAGGACGCATTCGAAGACGGCGTCGCCGCCCTCCGCACAGTGGACGTCGGCCAGCGGGGCCACCACGCTGGGCGGGATGTCTGTGGGCAAGCGGGCACGGCGTCAGCCCGCAGGGGGCCCGGCGGGGCGACCGGCCGGCCGGAAACCCAGTCCCGACCAGCCCAGCCACAAGCCCCGCGCCACCCCGGGCGGGTCCCCTCTTACCCGTGTCGGTGAGGGGGAGCTAATCAGGCTACGGACAGGGGGGCCGTGTGCAGCTCTGGAGCCCTGCTACTCCAGACCCCGAGGCGGGTCGGGGGGCAACGTGGGGGCCTGAGGACACTGGCCCGCGGCAGGGGGCGCGTGCTGGTGCTTTACGCGCTTCACCCTATCGGCCCCCACAGGCGCCTCCGAGGCAGGCACGACATCGTCACTTTTCCAGGTAAATAAATAGTGGCTTCAAAGGCTGAAGGACCTGCCTGTCTCATCCAGCTAAGAGGAGGCCCTGCTGGTGTTCACCCCCTGGCCTGCGACGGGCCTCGCCCCCTCTTCCCCCTCCGCCCAGCTCAGCTTCCTTCCCAGACCTCTGCTCCCCTCCGGCCCCAGCGGCGGTCAGGGCCTCAGAGGCTGCGGGCGCGCGGCTGCTGGTGAGGGAGGGGCCGGAGGTGATGGGGGAGCGGGGAGAGGCCCCGGCGGGCGGCGGGCACAGGCGCCAAGTGCGGCCCTGCAGAGCGTCCCCGTAAGGAGCGCGGAGAGGAGGCCGGGCACCAGGAGGGAGTGAGCTCCAGAGGAAGGTGTCCGCGGCTGGAAAGTCCAGAGCGAGGCCAGGCAGGCGTGCCCGCTGAGGCTCCGTACAGCCCAGCGCAGCCCGGCGCTCGAGGTCAAGAACGCCGACCTTGGCGGAGACTTCAGAAAAGGGGTCGCCACCACGGAATCCCTGGGACATGGGCTCCCCTCCCCGCTGGCGTCATCACGCCCACCTTCCTGCACCCCTGGGCCCACCCGCAGCCCCCGCAGGGCGGCCCCGCACCCTCGGCCTCCAGCGCAGTGGAGAAGACCTCTACGTCCTCCACCTTGACCTCGTAGAAGCCCGCGTCCTCGGGGCACAGGTCCTGGATCTGGAAGTGGTAGTGCTTCCCCAGCTGCTGCAAACTGCGCTTGGCCTGGCTGTCGGAGCTGAAGGAGACGGCCTCTCCGTCCTGGGCCCGGGGAAGAGAGGGGTCAGGGCCTCCGCGGGGCCTCAGAACCTGCGGCCCCGGCCCCACGCCGGCAGCAGCCAGCTGTCGTCTCCCCTGGCGCGGGCTCCGGGCCACCTGCCCCTGGGCCTTCCCGGAGGTAGGGGCGCGGAGAGCAGGCCCGGAGGGAAACAATCTCTCTCGGGACGCACACGACTCCGACCACAGAGTCCTTGCCGGACACTTAGATGCCCACGGTGGGCTGGGCTCTCTTGTCGCTCCTTGGGACAGACACATCAGGGAATGAGACAGACAAGGACCCCTCTCCCGGGAGCTAGAAGCCCACGGGCGGACAGACACCTGCTAAACAACTGAAGGAAGCAGTATAAGGGGCGTCAAAACGATAGAACTAGGGGCGAAGGAGAGAGAGGAGGGGAGGGATTCAGGGGTGCCAGGGTGGGGCTGGGGGCCGGTGTCCACAGGGCGGCCAGGACACGGCCCTGCGGGCGTCAGGGACGAGCGTGGCAGGCGGCGGGGGCGGGGGGGTGCTCGCCGAGCCCAGGAACAGGGAGAGGCTGGGGCAGGGTAACAGGGGGCCCATCACATGTTAGCTCAGCGTGGATGCCTTGCGATAGGTCCTACGGTTCCCTCCTGCCACAAACAGGGAAACTGAGGCAGTGCCAGGAAGTGGCAGAGCCAGGACGAGTTTGCCCACAGGACCGGGGTTGTGCTTTGCCGCCCCTTCGCCCTGCCCCATGGAGGGGTGACTACTCCTGGAGCCCAAGCAGGGTGCTCCAGTCTCTGGGGAGAGAGCCCAGCGAGAAGGGGCGTTTTCTCAGAGCCCCTTCCCTCCTGCGGAGAACCTGGCGGCTCCGTGAGGGCGGGGGGCCCCCAGGCGCATCCGCTCCAGCGCCCGACCCGACTGCAGCCGGGGCGCGGGGCTCGCCTGCCCTGCTGGCTGAGGTCCCCGCAGGGGGCCCCGGGGAGCCCACCTGCCGCGCCCCTCTAGCCTCACCTTGGACAGGGAAATCTTGCTCTTAGGATCCTTGAGGTCCAGCTCCATATCGAAGAACGCCACCCCGGCCTTGTCGACTTCAATCTGCGTCATGTTGGAGATGCTGTGGATGTACTAGAGAAGAAAACCCCCAGGGGAGCTCACTCCGGGCACTGCACCCCCTCCGGCCCCAGGTCCCCCAAACCCAGCCCAACACGCATCCCCCCCCTGTACAAGCGGGAGGCGTAAGCCCTGTGAAGAGGAAGACATTCTCCAAGATGAGACATGAGGTTGGGAGGGGGAGCAAGAAAGAGCCCGGGCGTCCGGGAGCTCCAAGAACACAGGGAGGCTCGCGTTCACCCCACCGCAGCGGGCTGAGCACCTGCTGCACGGGAAGCCCCGTGCCGGGTCCGTGTCAAGGCGGACGAGAAAGCCCGGGGGAGAGAGCAGGGCCCGGGGAGGGAGGGGAAATGCCATTTTCAGGACGGCGGAAGCTAGCTGTTCTGTGTTTCCAGAGCAAAAGTTAGATTTAGGCTGTCATTAGGTTCAGTCCAGGAAAGAACTTCCTGAGCAGCTTGTACGACACTAGAATGAGAGCGGGGACCGTGGAACCCCTTCACTGGGAGCCTCTGGAAACAAGGCAGGTCCCCACGGTCTGCGGTGATGGCGGACGTTGACGACGGTGCTGGCGGTTAGCGTGATGGCGGGCGTGTCCCCAGGCCCGGCTCCCGGGCGGGGCGCAGGCGGGGTGGGGTACCTGCGCCATCCTCTCCTCCTGCTCCTTGCGCAGCTTCTCCAGCTTGCGCAGCATGCCGCGGAAGTCCACGATGCCGTACTTGAGGCACAGCCTCTCGTAGTCCTTGCGGTCGGCCGTCAGCAGCAGCTGCCACACCTGCTGCGGGTCTATGGTTTGCCGGACGGAGGGCGGCGGGGTCCTGGGGAGCAGGGCCGGGAGGTCAGAGGCCCGGGGGCCGCAGGAGCTGACACCCCGAGGGGCTGGCGGGGGCTGCCCTTTCTTCCTCGGGGAAAGGAGCACAAAGCCCGGCCCCAGCTCCGCAGGAGAAACTTGGCGCCTAACAGCTTGTATCGTGGGTTTCCGAGCAAGGTATCCCCGGGGGCAATTGTCCTGTTGCTTAAAACATGCTTTAAAATCCCCGTGTGAGCGGAGCGCCCCATCTTACTGGGGAGCAAGCGAGGCCCCAGAGGGGAGCGATGATTCACTTGGGACGGAGTTGCACCCAGAGCACCCCCTTCCCTGCGCCCTCTCCCCACCTGCACCTGCAGCCGGCCCTCCCGCCTGTGCTCAGGGCGGATTCGGGGGCGGAAGCCGCAGGGGACCCAGGACAAGGGACGAGGGCCTTGGCACCGGCGCCCCCACCGCCAGGCCCACACCCACCTGAGCATGTTCCGCAAATCCATCAGCTCCTGCCTGAGGTCTGCAGAAGGGTCTGGAGTGAGGCCCCGCCCGAGGGCGGGCGTCCACGGGCCGGGGCGGGGCTCTCCCCGAGGAAGCCGCGGGGGTGGGGGTTGCGGGCCCAGGAGTCCTCCGTGGGGGCCTGGCCAAGTGGGGAGCACCAGGCAAGGAGCCGTCCCCCGCCCCCCGCCCCCCGGCCGCGAAAGGCCCAGGGCGGCAGCTGACAGTCCTTCCACCTACCCAGCTGGGGCTCCTCCCTCTTCCGTTTCTTCCGAAAGCCGACTGGGCCGCCGGGGGAGAGGAGGCAGTCAGTGTGGACGGGCCGGGGCGAAGCCCGGCACCCCGACGGTCTCCCTGAGAACCACGGGCGCGGGGCCCGGCCTCCCCGTCCCCCAAGGCGCGGGGACAGCCCAGCCACAGGGGTGGGCAGGGTGCAGGGTCTGTCCCTTCCACACGGCGACGCCCCAGAGCCTTGGCAGACTAAGACGGCGCCCGCCTGCACCGCAGCTCACGCAGGAGCGGCCACCCCCCGGTCTACAGGGGCGGGGTGGCCCACATGAGCGACGTGTCCCCGGGGACCACAGCTGACCCACCTCTGAAGGGGCAGCTGCCCTGTTTAGCCAAACGCACCCCACAGCTGTTTGGCTGGTCCTGCAACCATCGTAACCCCCCCGCCCCGCCCCATCGCCGACGCCCTCCGCAGCGCTCCCTCCCCGCCCCCCCACGCAGGTCTCCTGCCCCCTGGGCTCCCGGCGGGCGGGGGCCGAGCCTACCTTCGATGACGGTGAGCCTCACCGAGCACAGGGCCTCCCCGTACGGGTTCACGGCCATGCAGCGGTACACGTCCGTGTCCTCGCCGATCAGCTTGTTGATCTGCAGAGAGGCCGAGGGCGGGGGTGTGGGGCTGGCCCTCTCCCCTCCTCCGTCGCTGGACCTGGCTATGGGCCCGGGACGCAAAGACCTGTCCTCGTGCTCAGAGAGCTGGCGGCCTCCCTCAGGAAAGACAGCCCGGCCCGGCCCAGACCACAGCGGAGCGCGGACTAGCCGGCTCCCTCCACGGAGGAAGACCGCGCGCGTTCCAGCTCGGGCAGACCCGGGGTCCAATGTCCTCTGTCATGTGTGTGACCTTGGGCGAGGTGCCTCACCTCGGCGAACCTTCGTTTCTGTCCTTCTAAGGCGAGGATAGCAACGCCTCAAAAAGCAGGGAATGGCCAGGATTAAATGGCATCGCCACCTATGCCGAGGGCTTACCGCCCAGAGTAGGCATCCCGTGACCGGCAGTGACAAACATCACTCATACTGACCGGCACCGACGGAGGCCCACTGGCGGTCAAGGCGCCACCTGTCCCTTTACCTAAACCTGCGACGCCCGTGGAGACCCCGAGCCAGGGGCTTTTACCGCACGTCCCCGATGAGGAAGGACCGGTACAGAGAAGAAAACAACTTTTCCATCCAGGACGGTGGGCCGGGGATTGCCACCCCGCAGCCCAGCTCCCGAGCCGGCGGGACGGAAGGGCGGGGGGCCCGGTCGCTGGGGACGCCGGGGGCTCCTACCTGCAGCGCGTGGTCCTTGCTGCCGGGCGCGGACAAGATCTGGTACTTGCTGGAGTTGCTGAGGCCCCCCTTGCTGCACTCCCAGCGCACCTCGGGGCTGGGGTCCCCGCAGACCACCGCCCGGAAGATGGCATTTCTCCCTGCGGTGGGAGAGGCGGGCGGAAGGGTGAGTGCACACTTGACTGCGTCGACGTCAGTGCGTGTCACCCCGCCGCCGGCTCAGGGCTCAGGGGCGGCCGCCGGGTTTTGCACGGCAGGGCCCTTGAGGGAGGGGTGTCCGCGGGGAGCAGGGCGTGGGAGGGAGGGGTTTTCTTTGCAAGTGTCCCAAGACTCGGAAGAGGGCGCGTCTTTTGTGCGTCTCCTGTCACCCTCTGTGCAGGGGTGGCAGCTCCAGAACGACATGGCTCCAGCCTCGGAAAGAGCCCGAGCTCGGCCACCTGGCCCCCCGGAACTGCTCCGTAGGGGCGTACGCTTCCGGGGCCCCGCCCAAAGGCGAGAGGGCCTCCCCGTGACCTTGTGGAGGGAGGACGTGGAGTCGGATTTGGGGAAATAACCTGTCATGGTTCCTGCTCTTGAGGTCGTAGACTGAAATGTATTGTGTGGCTGGGGACGCACCGGCTGGCACCCCAGCCAGGTGGCCTGGTCCCCGCACCCCTCTGGGCATTTCTCCGGAAGGGTCTCTTAGGAAGGGCAGCCCCAGCCCAGCCGGGAGCTCAGGGGCCCGGGTGCCGGGGCGTCTGGACGCGGGGGTGCAGGTGCCCAAGGGAAGGCATCCCGTTGGAACGGCGCCCCCTCGGCCGCTTGGAGGCCGGGCGGCCGGACACAGCACAGCCTCTCCCTGCGCCCAGGCTGGCGTCTCTCGGTCACCGTGGCGTGTGTTCACTGCTTGGGCCCACTCTGCCCTTCTGGGGACCCAGGCAGGCCCCCCCCTACAGGCAGAGGTGGTGCAGCTGGTGACAGACTTGGGGTCCCTCAGCAGCGCCCCGCCCGCACCCCGGCCTCACCCTCGGCCAGCGCCATGGTGACGGGCTTCTGCTCAAAGTCCGGCAGGCTGCACCCTTCGGGGACTTCCTCCACCAGCTGCCGGACGGTCACCCCGTGCTTCCTGAGGGGCTTCCCTGGGGGCACGGGAAGGCGGGAGAGGGTGACCCTCAGCACGGTGCAGCTCTGACCCACTGTTCGCAGGAGCGAGGGCCCCTCCTGTCCCCGCACTGGGCGGGACAGAGGCTCAAGCTCCTGCCAGGACGGAGCCCTGCAGTGACCCTGGGGAGGAGCTGGAGGAAGACAGGGGGAGGGGCTTCTCCCCAGGAATCGGGACCTGCCTGGGGGCCTCGGACCCCTTTTCTCAACAAACGGCCCCAAACCCGAAGCCGAAACCAGAAACAGCAGAGACAGGCGGGCTCCCGGGGGACAGAGATGCCGCCCTTCCCTCCGCTCACCGGCCATGGTCTGGCTCCGCTTCGGCTCCTGAAGGTGGCGAAGGACCCTGAGAACAGAAGGTGGAGTTGCTCCTGGGAGGCCGGCTGCCTTAGCATCAGGGCATCGGCCAACGTATCTTGGGGGGCCCAGATACAGTCGCCACCCCCCTCCAAGAGCTTCTCTAACCCCAGCTGAGGACGCTGACTGGCTTCCTGCTGTTCCGCGGCCCCAGCACAACCCATGTGCCAGAGACCGGGCCGGGGGTCGGGGGTCGGGCGCCGCCCTTGCCCAGGCGAAGGAGACACCAGGGGCTGAGCCTGCACACTGCGCTGGCAGCCGGGCCACTCAGAGGGCGGCGGGGGGTCCCTAAGTTCAGGAGGCCACCCCAGATCCTTCCAGCTCTCACGGCCTGGCCCCCTTGACTTCGGACGTGACTGTCCCGGGACCGATCGCAGGCTTTGCAGCGGCTCCCAGCGGCCCTGGCCCCCCTCCCTCAGCCAGTCCGGATCCTTCTGAACGCCAGGTCTGCAGGAGAACAGCCCCGCCTGCCCCCCACCCCCACCCCGGGAGACCAGCGAACTGTGATGTCTGGTAGATGAGCGTCGTCGAGCCTCCTGCAGCCACCACCGCTGTCTCCCGCACCCTCGGGGCGTCTGTCCGCTGTGGCCGCCGGGGAGCGCCCCCAGGAGCGGGCGCGGGCTCGAGGCGGCGAGAGGCCCTGGAGGAGACCCCTGAACAGGAGCGGAGGGACATCCAGCCACCCCACGTCCAGCGCGGTTGGCCCGCGGCCACGGCGCTCTGTTTCGGGGACTCTGCTTCCTGCCCAAAGAGCCCTACGCGCCAAGTGGGCTCACGTGACAGAGCACGGTCCTGTCCATGTGCCCCGTCCCAGCTGCCCCCCGACACGCTGGAATGCCACATGCGCCGCGGCGTTCTGGAGCGGTCTGGAGCGGTCACGGCATCGCCACCGGGCAGCAGGGAGTCAGGAGGGAGCAGCGGGGCGGGCGAGGGCAGCTGCCCAGCTGGCTGAGGGGCCCCGGTACCCCCCGCGCCCGGGGCAGCCACCGGGCGCCTGTCCACAGCCCCACCCTGCAGCCGTGCCACGCGGGTCTCCTAGTTGTCACCTTCATCACCTGTCATCATCGCCACCAGCTCAGTCACTCACACGGCCATTTGTCACCTTGGGGAGGTAATGCTCACAAGGTCCTGTCTGCAAGTCCCCTGCCTGCGGGTCCCCACTGCAAGGGAGCGGCGCGGAGCCCCACCTACGGGGCCGCAGGGTCCCAGGGAAGCCCCGTCACCCGCAGGACCCCCGCGCTCCTCAGGGAGGAGCCAGGTCTGTGCAAGGTCCACGACGGGTGGGCGAGAGCTGGGCCAGGCTGGAGACCGGGGACTGCGGTCCCAGCCGGGCGGTGGGAGGACAGGAGGGACCCTCGTCTGCACGCCCTGTTTCCCAGCAAGAGGGCCCGATCCTGCTCGGCACGGTGTCCTCGCTTCAGCCTCCCCTGGCGCGGCGGCGGCGGCGGCGGCGGCGGCGGCGGCCCCCTTCCCCGCCCTCCCGGGGCCTCAGCCCACGGGTCCAGGCGCCTGCTGCCTCGTGCTCCTCCACTGGGGAGCCTCTCGGGGGCGCTGAGATGCCCCGAGTCCAGCCCCGAGGACTCATTCTGGACAGCTCCTTGGATCTGTGACCTGGTCACCGTCACATGCTCCAAGCCGCGCGCGGCCCGGAAAAGCCGAGCTGGGACAGAGCGCCCGGCTGGGTCACTGAGGTCCTCCCCTCCGGTGTCTTGCAGTTGTCCCCAGGGCGCCATGCACCCCAGGGCGTGGCCGGCCCCAGGGGGCGCCCTGGGCGGACCTCACCCCCTGCCGGCCCCTCTGGAGTGGGCGAGTCGGGGGGCGTTCAGGTATCTCCCTCTGTGCCCCACCCTGGCCCCGGGAGGGCAGCCCGGGGCTCGGCGCCCACTCACCTGGGCACACTGCCGGCCTCCGGCCTCCGGCCTCCGTCGACCCCCTCCTCCCTGCCTCCAGCTGCTGCGTCCTGCCTGCCGGGGCCTCCGGAGGAACTGCAGTGGACAGGCGGTGCTGGGGCAGATGTAGGTCGCCGCGGCCTTTTTGGTCTCCACGGCCCCGCCCACTTGCCCCGCCCCCTTCCTCCTCCTCCTCCAGCTTGGCACGGCCGGGCCCCTGGGGTCAATGTCCAGCCTCCTGGAGGTCGGAGATGGAAGGGCCCTGTGACATTTGGCACCTCCGACGCCTCATCTTGTGAAGCTTTAAGCTCTGAACCAGGCTGGCTCAGTTACGCCTGCTGCCGGCCGCGCCGCGGGGATGAGCCCTCCTAGCGGGGGCGGCGTGTTATCCGAGGTCTCGGCTCCCCAGCGGAGCGGCCCCCGGGGCCCAGCACACCGGCCGGCCCACGGGCCGCAGTAAAGATCCTGCCCCTCTGGGAATCACAACCCAAAGTGTCACCAAACAGACAGCCCATTCCGAGACCTAGTCACAGACCCAGACCAGAGGGCACAACCCCACAGGCTCTGAGGGGGCGCGCTCCCCGGAAAGCGCCCCTGGGGCTGCGTGCAGCCGGGAGGCCTTCCGGGAGGAGGTGAGCTTTCCCAGGACAGAGGGGTGGCCCGGCCAGCAGGGCAGACGGTTGTCTGTGTGGAGGGAAAGTGGGGACTGGGGACAAGATGGCCGGTAACGGACCGTCTTAATGAGCGTGAAGGCCAGGGGCAGCCCAGAAGGGGCCGAGGGGCTAAGGCCATCTGCCCTCTCCTTACGGACGGAGACCTGGGTGTCGCCGCCCACAAACCAGGCTCAACAAAGGATTCAATGAAGTAAAATGGGGCCAGTGCTGCCTTCAGGGGGCCGAGGAGGGGCCCCCGTCCTCGTAAGCACAGAGCTGTGTGTGAGCTCAGGGGGGCGGGGTGTGCACACGCACACGTGGGTTTGGGGTGTCCCTGAGTGTTTCTAACACTGCGTGTCGGACGCTGGTGTTTCAGCTGATTCAGAAAATGTGCGCGGAGCGTCTGCCCTGCATCAGACCCCGGGACCTTGCATCTGCAAAGGCGGCCAAACCCCGGCCCCTTCTGGGGCCGACAGATGTCAAGTGGCCAGTTACAGAGTGCGGGGGGTGAGGGCGCGGGGGCAGGCAGGTCCAGGCAGAGGCCCCCCGGAAATTCCAGTCCCCGGGCTCAGCACCGAGGAGGCCGGCTCGGCTGGAGGGGTGACAGGGTCCCATCCACTCTGTGAAGGCTCGCCCTGGCGCGGGGCAGGGGAGGGGGGGGCGGGGGGAGAGGCCGCTCCCCACAGGGCGGCCCGGGGGCCCCGCTGTCCTTCTCACAGTGGGGCACTGGCTCCAGGGGACGTCCTGAGGTGCCCCCCGGCCCCCAGGGGGCCTGCCCCCAGCCCCGCCCCACGCTGGGGTCCCAGGCTTTGCCATAGATGGAAGCCGCAGGCCTCTAGGAACTGAGATGCGTCAAGTGGCTCTCATGCGCCTCTGTCCCCCGCCCATCCTCGGGGACATGGGATGCGCGCTGTGCCAAGGTGGCATCTTCAGCGGGGTGGCGGGTGCTGGTCAGATGCCCGCGTCGCGCCTACGATGGGCGGCAGGTCCGGGGGGGGGGCGCTGGAAGGGGGTGCCCGGCCTTTTTCGGAAATCTCCAGGCTACCACTCGAGCCGACGACAGGTGCCCTGACTGTCCTCCAGTGATCCCTCCCAGGGCGCAGTCTGGACCGGCGGCGGCACCCGCAGGCCGCCTCTCCCTGCGGCCGGGCCTCGTCACGGCCCCCGTGGGGCGTTTCCCTTGGGAGGGAGAAGGGCAGGCCCCTGCCTTCATCACCCGGGGTGGACAGGACTTGCTCTTGGGACCCCCGGCTCCCAGGGGCCGGCAGAGACCGGGACCCCGGGGACACCGCGCTCCCCCGCCCCGGGTTGGAGGGCACAGTGTCTCCTCCCCTCGGCTCAGCTGTCCTCCCTCTGGCACCGGCTTCTCGGGTTCCCAGCAGCCTGGCCGCACACAGCTGGTGGCAAAGATCAGGCTGAAACCCCATCCCTGCCCACGGCCCGGCCGGGGCCCCGCGCCAGAGCGAGCACCACAGCGGAGCCCAGGCTGGGCTGGGAGGGGGCTGGGCTGCGGCCGCCGGGCGCAGCGCGTCCTTGGGAGGAGGCCCAGCCCCGGGGAAGGGAGCGGACCGTCGGGCTCCCGCCTCAGAAAGGCAAGGACCGGGCCCTCCCGGGGGCTCCGGGTCCCCTCCTCTGATGGGGACCAGCCCCGCTTTCCCACGGCCACCGAGGCACCGCCCCAGCGCTCGGGGACAGCTCTGTGACACGGAGGACGTGGTGCCCACGTAAATGGCGTTCGCCGTTGCTGTGGCCGTGGGCCTGCCGCTGTCTGCGGCGAGCGAGGCGGCGCCCGGTGCGCATCCAGTGTGGGCGACGTTGCTGGGCCCTTGGCGGGGTTGTGTCGCTGAATGACCTCCTTTACTGCCTCCGCTGGGTGTGGGGGGGAGTCGGCGCCTGCCTCTGCTCGCGGACTCCTCGTCGCTGGGTGGGGAGCTTCTGCGACCGATCCAGCGTAGCGTGGCTGCCACTTGCTGGCACCGAAGGGCTCCCTCCCTCTATTTGTTTGTTGGTTCTCTCCTCAGTCTGAAATGCCAACCCCATGGGAGAGATTCTGTTTTGTTTACTGAGCTGAGGACAGGGTTTGGCACTCCCTGCTTGAGTGCCTGACCCCTGACTCTAACTCCGGGGCAGGACGAAGGTCCCCCGCCTCCGCCTGGAGGCTGCAGTGTGCCTGTGGTTCTCTCTGTGATAGGACAGCAGGGAGAGGTCCCAGACATAGAAAAGGGACAATGAGACCCGGAATGGAACTCGCACAGCCCATTGGAAGCAACTTGTTGGAAGCGTGGTTGGCCATAGTCAAAGCCAGGGGCTGAGGTCAAGGGTCAAGATGGAGGATGGACCGGGGGACCCTTCCTGGTGTCAGCATGAACTACAGGGCCACCAAACGGTCACACAGATCACCTGCCCCCAGCTCCGCACGGAGAGAGGGTTGGTTAACACCTGAAGGCGGAAGGGAACCGTGGCCAATGGTCAAATGAGCTTCTTTCCATTGGTTTTGGTACAGAAAGAGCAATCAGGGGTTCGGCGGCCCAGCCAGGGTTTGAGGCGCACGGTGCCCAGAGGTCCGCCCATTGATCGAATGTTCTCGCCCAGAGACGCGGGAGCAGCCGCAGACCGCCCGTCGGTGGTCTCCGCCCCTGCCCTGTGGGAGGCGTCCGCTCGGTGTCCCCTCGTGGGCGCAGAGGCCAAGCCTGCCAGGACTTCTGGTCCCAGATAAACATCCCTTCTCTGACCTCCTCCAAATGTTTGCACTGCAACAGATTCCCACCCGTTTGATTTCTCAACGTGGCTCCAGATGAATGTCCCTTTCTTGTCCAAAGATTAAATTCCACATTCCGGGAGGTGTGAGCTGTGGTCGGATTCCAGCGAACGATGGAACGGTCAGGCGGACATGGAGACCTTTACGAGCAGAAGAGCCGAGAGCCCTGGCCGGGTGCCAGCCCCCCCGCGCTGGGCACGCGCGGGCGGAGCCCCTTCACTCCCACAGCCGCCGGCCGCGGGGGGCCCCTCCGCTTCCGCAGAGGGAGCCGGAGCCGGACACAGCGAGCGGCGAGGTGACGTTAGGTCACGGGCCGCCCTGACGCTGGCAGAGCTGGGCGGGGGGTCAGGCCGATGGTCTGCGCGCCTCTCCCCACTTGGGTGTCTCCCATTTGTGAAACGAGAGGGAGCGCGTCCGCTCGACTGCAGTTCTGTCCCCTGTCCCCTGGGAGCTGGGCTCCCCCTGGAGAGCGTGACACAGAAGGGCAGGAGGGAGGGAGCGAGAAAGGAGGGGGAAGACCCCACCAAGAAGGAAAGAGAGAAAGATAGAAAGACGGGAAGGAAGGGAGGCAGGGAGGGAGGGAGGGAGGGAGGGAGGAAGGAGGGAGGGAGAGAAGGAAGGGAGGAAGGGAGGAAGGAAGGAGGAAGAAAGGGAGGAAGAAAGGGAGGAAGAAAGGGAGCGAGCGAGAGCGAGAGCGAGAGCAAGGGAGGAGTCCACCAGGGAACCACCGGTCGCACCAGGCAGGGAGCAAGGTGGCAAGCCCTGCTGGTGTGTGAGCTCAGCGACACCGTCCAGCGGCCCCACCAGCATCCGTGAGGGGTCTGGGACCCAGGGCACGGCCTCCCCACCCCCACTTCCCTTCGGAAACTCCCGCGCCTGCCGGCCCCGCAGCGACGTCTGGAAAATGCCCGGCGGCAGCAGCGCCGGGCTCCCCCAGAGACCTCTCGCCCGTCCCAGGGGCCACCTGTCAGCCGAGGTAGTTAGCTGGGCGCTGGCTCTGGGGAGATTGACAGGGGCGGCTGAGCCTCATTAAGGCCCCGGGCGGAAAAGGGCTTTGCTGTCTAGTGACTGACTTGGGCCCCTGGACTCGGTTAGGGAGCTGTTGCCAGGGCTCCAGCGTGGCAGCCCCACGGGACGGGGACCTGGACACCTGGGGCCGTTCCCAGTCCACTCTGTGTCCCTCCGTCCTGGAGGAGGCGATTGGGCGGGCCTGTCCGCGCTGCAGAACATCCTCTGCGACCCTCTGGCCCGCCTCTCCCCGCGGCCTGGGGACGCTCTGCCCGCCCCCCGTGAGCGGTGGCTGCCGCGCTGGCCCCTTGGTGCCCTCCAGGGCAGCCCTCTGTCCCCCGCGGTGCTTCCCCGGAGACACAAGGAGCTCTGCCACGGCCTCCCCGTCGCGGGCCTGGCCCTGGCTTACCTCTCAGCGGGAGGCCGGAGCCCAAGAAGGGCAGGCCCCGTCCTGGGCTCCGGCCTCCCGCGGGGTCGTCCTCGGCTGATTCACAGAAACCATGGGGATGGAAGATGGCCTGGCCTTGGGCACAGGGAGCGTGAGAGTTTAAAGGAAGACAGGTTGTCGGTTCCTGGCTGGCTTTCCGACATCAGTTTAGAGTGAACGTGGGCCCAAGGGACCAAGACCACAGGCCGAGTAGAAATAAAATCGAGGGGCACC